TCCGACGTCTCCTTTCCTGATCTTGAATCCCGGTGGTGGTTTGGACGTGTTCACAGCTTGGAAGCACAATCCCACCGCTTGCCACCAATGTAATGGAACTGGACCCTGACTGCACTAGGGTAATTCTGTTAGGCTCCCGCTTCCCTGTCTAAACACCGTCCACGGACCCCACCGCTGGCCATACAAGACTAGACGAGACCAGTCTTGAAATAAATCAGGAAACAGACTACTTTATTTTAACACAGATACAAGATATACAATGAGGAACAGAAGTATTTGAACACCCTGCGATTTTGTAAGTTCTCCCACTTAGAAATCATGGAGATGTCTGAAATTCACATTGTAGGTGCATTCCCACTCTGAGAGACAGAATTAAAAAAAAATTCAGGAAATCACATTGTATGATTTTTAAAGAATTTATTTGTCTTGCACTGCTGAACATAAGTATTTGAACACCTAAGAAACAGCAAGAATTCTGGCTCTCAAAGACCTGTTACTGTGCCTTTAAAAAGTCCACCTCTACTCCACTCATTAATCTAACTTAGTAGCACCTGTCTGAGCTCTTTAAAGACACCTGTCCACCCCACAGTCAGTCAGACGCCAACTACTACCATGGGCAAGACCAAAGAGCTGTCAAAAGACACCAGAAAACAAAATTGTGGACCTCCACAAGGCTGGAAAGGGCTACGGGGCAATTGCCAAGCAGCTTGGTGAAAATAGATAAACTATTGGAGCAATTGTTAGAAAATGGAAGAGGCTAAAGACGACTGTCAGTCTCCCTCGGACTGGGGCTCTATGCAAGATCTCACCTTGTGGGGTATCACTGATGATAAGAAAGGTGAGGAATCAGCCCAGAACTACAAGGGAGGAGCTGGTCAATGACATTAAGAGAGCTGGGAACACAGTTTCAAAGGTCACTGTCGGAAGAACACTACGACGTCATGGTTTCAAATCATGCATTGCACGCAAGGTTCCCCTGCTCAAGTCATCACATGTCCAGGCCCGTCTGAAGTTTGCCAATGACCATCTGGATGATCCAGAGGAGGCATGGGAGAAAGTCATGTGGTCAGATGAGACCAAAGTAGAACGTTTTGGTCTAAACTTTACTTGTCGTGTTTGGAGGAAAAAGAAGGATGAGTTGCATCCCAAGAACACCATCCCTACTGTGAAGCATGGGGGTGGTAACATCATGCTTTGGGGGGTGCTTTTCTGCGAAGGGGACAGGATGACTGCACTGTATTAAGGAGAGGATGAATGGGGCCATTTATTGTGAGATTTTGAGCAACAACCTCCTTCCCTCAGTCAGAGCATTGAAGATGGGTCGTGGCTGGGTCTTCCAACATGACAACGACCCGAAGCACACAGCCAGGATAACCAAGGAGTGGCTTCGTAAGCAGCATATCAAGGTTCTGGAGTGGCCTAGCCAGTCTCCAGACCTAAATCCAATAGAACATCTTTGGAGGGAGCTGAAACTCCGTGTTGCTCAGCGACAGCCCCGAAACCTGACAGATCTAGAGGAGATCTGTGTGGAGGAGTGGGCCAAAATCCCTGTTGCAGTGCGTGCAAACCTGGTCAAGAACTACAGGAAATGTTTGACCTCTGTAATTGCAAACAAAGTCTTCTGTACCAAATATTAACACTGTTTTTCTCAGGTGTTCAAATACTTATGTTCAGCAGTACAAGACAAATAAATTCTTTAAATCATACAATGTGATTTCCTGAATTTTTTTTTTTAATTCTGTCTCTCAGAGTGGGAATGCGCCTACAATGTGAATTTCAGACCCCTCCATGATTTCTAAGTGGGAGAACTTGCAAAATCGCAGGGTGTTCAAATACTTCTGTTCCTCACTGTATACACAGGGTGGGGCAATACACACCCAGTAACAAGACACACATCAGCAGACACTCCCATCAGGGGGAAAGGCTGCTGGCAACACCCCCCACCAAGCCAATACACACAAACACATACATCCCATAATAGTTTGCTCCCAAGCAAGACACACAATAGAACAATGGGATACAACCACATAGTATTAAACAATGAACAACCCCCCACCCCACCTATACATGTTTACACAATATTATGACTTATCACCCTGCACCCCTAACAGGCACAGGGTGACTTACACATTAGAGGGATATGGGGAGCTGAGACAGGGGTCTCCCCACCTCTCTAAAGTGAGCTGTGTTCCATGGGCCCCCCACCCAAAATGACTCCCGTCACAGTAATATTCTAATTTTGGATTTTCACTAGCTGTAAGTCATAATCATCAACATTAAAAGAAATAAATGCTTGAAATATATCACTCTGTTTGTTATGAATCTGTATAATATATGAGTTTCACTTTTTGAATTGAATTACTGAAATAAATTAACTTTTTGATGATATTCTACTTTATTGAGATGCACCTATATATGAGGTGGGGCATGGATCATAGTGTAACACCATTTATAGAAGAATTGATAAAGCTATAAGGTAAAATCACTTACAAATGTAGTTCTTAACCAGAAGAACCAATCCCGTGATAAGATTCTAAGGTGTGGTCATCACCAGTAGCATTATAGGGCACCTAGGAAGAATGGACAAAGTACTACATGTACTTTGTCCCATCGGAAACTGAATAATGTAAAAAAAAAATATTACTTCTTCTTTACCCATATGGAACTAGATGCTTTTGGTTAGGAGTTCAGGTGAAATCCAGTATCTAGATATTTCTATTCTGGCTACAAGCAAGTGTTTTCCTATAGTCCTGGGGGGGAAGGGGGGGATCATTAAGGTAGTCTAAGATACAGGCTAGAGGGTGAGGTTTTAGCATGACGAGGAATAACAGAGAAAACTCTTGCCTAACATCTTCCCAATTTCTCTGAAACTTGGGAAATCACTATATCGTATGTATAAACTCACCCATATGAAGAAAAGGCTTACAACACTCAGGGGGAGATTTACTAAAACTGGTGCACTCATAATCTGGTGCAGCTGTACATGGTAGCCAATTAGCTTCTAGCTTCAGTTTGTTCAATTAAGCTTTGGCAATAAAACCTGGAAGCTTATTGTTTTTTGCAAGCTGCACCGGACTTTGTGTTCTCCAGTTTTAGTAAATAACCCCCTATGCGTTTTGGCTGAAGTACAGGTTTAAATAATTTTTTAAAGGGGTGCAATATAACAATAAATAATTGAGTGAGCCATTGTGGATGATTCAAAGAGGATTTCCTCTAATATGGTGGACCAGTGGTCATCAGTAACCTCCCCAATATCTGCAGTCAACATAGAAACGGATTTGAGGAATGAGCCCTCATAAAAACGAGAAAGGTGTTGTAAACTACAAGACCTAGAAAAGGATGCGTGCCACCAGATAGGAAAGTTGCGGAAAATCTGATGTTTCCACAAAGGGGAAAACATCACAGAAATTGTCTGACTGATATTCTTAAACACCTGCTATAATTTCTTAAGTAAAGAAGCAGTAGGGTGATATATGTAGGACTTTGAAGGCAACTTAAAGTCTAGACAATCCATAAGGTTAACATTATGTATTATTTCAGAAAAGTGAAATCTAGTAGGGGTGCCCTGGTGTAAGTGCTCGAAATGTACAGCTAAAAAATGTGGGTACAGATGTGAAACTGCCATGCCTCAACTTACCTTCCCTCCTCTGTAATTTCCTGAGATTGATTTCTGCCTTCCTACCCTTCCAAATCAAGGTTCTAAACACAGAATGTATTATTCCAAAATGATACTTGATAAGAAAGTTTAGTAAGATATATAGGAACTTGGCATAAGAACCATTTTCCACAGGTGTAGGCTGTTTGCATCATGAATGAATACATTTGGTGGATTTAAAAGTACTTGGTTCCAATTAAGCCAAATGTAATCCAAAACTCTAGAAGAGACTTGAGTTTCAAGATAACTAAAGGTATCAATACATTGTATGTGTTAAAGAGTGGAGGAAAGAAGGAAGGGGAGTGGACCAATTGGCATGTACTGAATTGTGCTAATTAATGCAGAATCCTATAGAGGTTCCGAAATAAGAAACAATCCGTAAAATATGCATAAGTGAATGCTCATTAGAGTGTCATCAGTGTACATTGAAGTATATTAATAAAAGGACACTGGAGTTCCATAAGCAAGATGGACTTTATAATCAGTATGGCCATGGACTATATCGGAGTTCAGTAGTGATAAGGGACGTATTAGTCTGGTGTGACAGGGTGTTTGCCTGGCTTCAAAAGTTGAATGACTATGGTTCGTATTGTGAATCAGGAAGGTGGTTAACCTATTTAGAACCATTTAAACTTTGATGTAGATGTGGAAGAAGAACCAATACAAAGATTTTTAAAATATTAATAGAAAGCCTGTCTGAGCCTGGTGCTTTCTGTTAGGGAAGGTCATCACAATAGACTAAAGCTTCTCTAGAGTTATCAGAGTCTAGAAATTCCCTATGATGCAGAGTGAGTAGTGGAAACGTAAAAACGTCAGTGCAATTAAGAGAGTCTAAATTAGAATAAATGGCTCTTGAGGTACATAAGGATTCATAGTATTTAGTTTTCCTTCAAGTAATTATGGTCATACATACTTTATTGTGATAAAATAAAGCACAGTAATTAAAAAGTGAAAGTAAAGCTGCATTGGTCAAATCCAGTGATGGTCATAAAGGTCTGATAAATGCATAGATATCAGAAAGCAATGAAGAGAGATGTTGAATTATCCAGACCAGATGGAACACACCAAAAAGTCAAGCAGCAATGATAGACAGTACCGATATCCTAATTCATGTCAAAACCATCCAAACAGTACAGAATGATGAGTTCAGTATTCTAAGGAGGGTAGCCATGATCTGTGTACAGACAGGTGGTAACAGAGTCCACAGAACATCATTGAACAGAAGGTATAATAACCAGAGCGTAACACTGCAGGGCAAAAGCACAATAGTAAGCATGTCTAGTGAGAACTGACACAGATATCAGATAAAGTAGAATATTATAAACAAAGATGGACTATCAGGGACATCAAATGTCTGCGTACCAAAGAGAATCATCAGTGTCACAATCCCTGCACAACCAGATCAAATGCGGACTGACAACTCATGGGCAATAGGGGATCATGGGGCCCCTGTTTCCTTGCCAAACTCAAAAAAGCCTATGAAAAAGGTACCAGGGGCATCTCATGGGGTCCCCTACTGACCCCGGGCCCTCGGGCAGTGCCGAGTTTCCAAATGGTCAGTCCGTCCTTGAACCAGATATTTAGCAGCTTCTTGAGGGTTATCTACGAAAATTGTTTCACATTTGGTAAATCCTTTTAGATGAGTGGGGTAAATCATGACATAAAATATTTTTAGTAATTTTAGCCTCTCAATAACATCCTGGGATCTACACATTGCTATTGGACAACCTGGGAGTAGTCAAGAAAAAGGGAGACTTTAGATCTATTAATTAGGATTTATTTACATTCTTTAGCAAGTCATATATTATGCAATCTTCTCTCCTTCCACCAAGCGTGGAAGAAAAGAACATTTCTTGATTGACTGATTGGGAAAAAACAGACAGGCTGTTTGTCCACAGGTTGATCGACAGGGTGCCCATACATGGATCAAAACTGGGCTGGTCCCTGCTGAACCAGCCTAATTTATACTCATGTATGGTCGGCTTTAGGCCAGACATAATTTGGTATCCCAAGCTAATTCAATAAGCAAAAAAGAAAGGACCAAGGTGGAGGAGCAGGTGATAATGGTCTAGTGGGTAGCTTTTGTGCCCTCTCAACAGTGTAGGTGGTTGAGAAGGCATTTTTCCTAAAGATATCCAAAAGCCATTTTCCAGCAGAGACAGTAGGGTCTGCACTTTATATGTGTTACAGTTAGGTAACATGGTGCAAAGTTGTCCATTCTACAATCCAACTCTATAAAAACTAAAATGTCACCCTTGCAGCAGGGCTGTGCCTAGAGACTATGTCCTGACTATGTTGATAGCTATCCTACTATCTCTACTTGAGTTAAACGCACTTTATGTTAAAATGTATGTCAAAGAATGGAGAAGGGTTATGAAGGAAACTGCTATCCTGGACACCCTTAGAGGGATTTCCCCTCACTTCCTGTCCCACTGACATTGTTTTAGCAAACAGGAAGTATGGGAAATCTGCAATGGAGATAGTTAAGTAAAGAAATACATTTGTACTTCTGTCTGTATCAGTTGTTGTAGAGGTCTGGTAAAATGTTGTCAGTTGGACAAGAATTGAATGTAAAGCTCTCTAACAGAGCCTTGGGCAGCAGTCAAAACCAGACAGGGGTTCTAATTCTGCTCCACTCCATCCTAAACAAAGAAAAAGTTTGGTCTGAACATACACTTTATAATCATTAACACTGCCAAGTGCCACACAGACAGGTTGCATGGGGAGGGGGGCATTAAAAATTTGCTATGGGGGTTCATGAATTGTAGTTAGGCCCCTGCATGTATGACCAGCTGTACACAAGAACCGAATCTGGGTCATATTTACTATAAGACAAAAAGGCAAGAATGGGCAACATGTACAATTCATGCCTTTTTTTCTTCTGTAAATGCTACAGCATTTTAAATGGTACTCCAGACAAGAAGAGTTCTCCAGTTTCACTCTTTTATGGGTCTACATCACCAAAAAAGCATTAAAGATCTCTTCATGCTAGTAAAGATTCTCTATAAAAATACGCACTGTGCAGACTATTCATCAATTCCTTTAGCCTCTCAGAGTTAGTAAATGTTTCCATAGAGTTTTAATAACAGTAGTTTCTATGTCTATGTTTCTGTATCTTAAAGAGCTATGACTGCACAGCATATAAATATTGATCAGTGTGACACTAATGACCACCGCCACAAAGAGGAAACTGTGTAGCAGGCTGTTATGTGCACTCTCTGATTTGCTGCTGGCTGGTCTCTGCTTACCACAAAAATGCATAATCCAACCAATCCCACCTAGCAGAGCCTTGAAGGGGCTCATTATTTCATTTGGGTGCATTTTCATTTAAATATGGGTGTGGTTGGTTGGCGCTTGGTATGGCTTGATTAGATTGCACAGTTGGGCTTAACCACTTACTGTATGTATCGCCATATGTCTAAAACGTGGAGGATGCTTATATCTGCAGTGCCATTTATAAATGTGACTGCAGAAATCGCAGTGTGCCCAGTCATGGCTGTGTACCAAAGTGTCTTTGGACAGAAGCAGTGTATAGAGCTGTTGCGAGTAGCTCTTTGCCATGTGATTGCTGTGATGACCAATCTCTGTGTGGAAACAGTCATCTTGATAAAGGAGCAGAGCTTTGCTTCCTTATGTCTGAAATGATCCCGTGATGACTGGTGATCTGATGACTGGTGAAGGGAATGATTAAGAATAAACAGGAGGGGCTCTGAAATCACAGATGCACAGAATTAATTAAGCAGGGTGGTCCTTAAACTGGAGATCCTCAGTTCCAGCTTCTGTTCCAGCAAGGAGAACAATAAACAGAACAGTTGTCAAAAAATAAAGAAAAAAAGGTATACGTGATTTTAATGGTGCAAAACTTCCCTCAGGATAAACACACACAAATATACCCGTGTAAAAGTTAGTAAGGCTTTATTACAAAGTATCTAAAAACATGAAGACATATTGGGGTTTATTTACTAAATTTGGAGAGTGCAAAATCAAGCTCACTTCTGAATAGAAACCAATCAGCCTCTAACCTCAGCTTGTTCAATTTATCTTTGGCAATAAAACCTGGAAGCTGATTGATTTCTTTGCAGAAGTGAGCCTGATTTTGCGCTCTCCAGCTTTAGTAAATAAACCCCTTTGTCTACCATAGAAATGGTCAGGTGGACTGTTATGGTATATTTGTGTGTGTTTATCCTGAGGGAACTTTTGCGCCGTTAAAATCCTATATACCACCCTATTTACCATTTATTTTTTGACAATTCTTCTAGGGATGGGGTGCAGATGGATCAGCTATACCTTTATCTGTGAAATAAGCAAAACAGTTGTGACAAAACCAAGTTTCATTCTAAATCCAGAGACTAGCAATCAGGAGCAGCCGTGCCCAAAGTTGGCCCTACACCTGTAGAAAATTGTTTTCAAAATGTTTATTAAATTTTTTAAGAGTTAAAGAGAACAAATTCAACAACTGTTTTTTTTTACCAGAGTGAGCAAAAAAATAGTAGGACAAGGATGGAAATTTATTTTAGCAAATCTATTAGGAAAGAATGATTTTCTAATTACTGGATTCTATGAAAAGTCATTAGAAATGATTCAAGTCCATGAAGGCACAATTGCAATTTTGTTATACTTCCTCGTCCAAATGTTCAAATGAAATTCTACAGGTGTAAGGCCAGCATTAGATCATCTCACCCTGAAGTTATTAGCTTCACAGTTATGAGGCTTAGGAAGTACACTGCTATTTTTCAAGGGAAATTCTAGACAAAGAGTTATTTCTATCCTCTCCATTGCTCCTATCATAAACTAATGTCAGGGGGCATTTACTGCATCCATCTCTGCTTTCCTTACTCACTAGAGAGCTCTGTAAAATAATTCCTACCCTTTGCAGAGGGCTTCTGAACATGATACAAGTTGGAAGCAGTCCATGAAGAATCACACCAAATTGTAAAACACTTCAATAAAGAAACATATTCTCTTAAATCGGCCTTCTTTGCTTTTCCAAGAAACCTGCATTAAACATGTTTTGCTTTTTCTTAAAGAGACCCTGTCACTTGTATCCAAACGTATATCATAAAAAGGAAAGGGAACATACTTTACATATCTTTTAAGTGGCTCGTGTCTTGAAAAAAATGCTGTTTTGCTGCTGTCTGGCCACCTCAAGTAAACCACTCCACTTCTGGATGTGTAGAACACCTGCTCACCTGCCACTTGCTGTAGTTTCTCCCATCAGCTTGAATACTTGCAGTGGCCGGGTAGAAGTACAGTAGCAGTGTTTCAAGACTGTAGCCAATGGAAAAGTAAGGTATTGTAGCAGTGACAGTGGGCTGACAGGCACACTTTAAAACTGAACTGCAGACAAACAGATAAATGCATAATTGAAATACATATGTGAACTGTCTTATCTACTAAAGGATTTTTTATTCTGCTTCAGTCTTTTGATTCAAAATCTACTGAATCATAGGTCAGACAGGTCCAGGATCTGCATTCAGACTCTACTACAGGTAAGTATTGCATCCTCGTTCAGGAGTCACTCCATCCATTGACTGGACAACAAAGAAGCAACAGTACACTGATACAGTAATCCTCTTATATCCTCTTATATACATGTTTCCTGTCAGCAGTGTCCTTCCCTTTCTCAATCTGAATGCCACTGTACACAAAATTAAAAATAAAATGTTAGGGTTAGGTTTTAAAATTATGCTGATAAGTACATTTTGTGTTTGCTTGAACTATTCCTAATATGAATGATTGTGTATGTATGTACAAATGGGGGGTGATATACTGTCTGTCTGTCTATCTATCTATCTATCTATCTATCTATCTATCTATCTATCTATCTATCTATCTATCTATCTATCTATCTGTCTGTCTGTCTGTCTGTCTGTCTGTCTGTCTGTCTGTCTGTCTGTCTATCTATCTATCTATCTATCTATCTATCCATCTATCCATCTATCTACACTATATTGCCAAAAGTATTGGGATGCCGGCCTTTACATGCACATGAACTTTATTGGCATCCCAGTCTCAGTACGTAGGGTTCAACATTCAGTTGGCCCTTTGCAGCTATAACAGCTTCAACTTTTCTGGGAAGGCTGTCCACAAGGTTTAGGAGGGTGTCTATGGGACCATTCTTTGACTATTCTTCCAGAAGTGTATTTGTGAGGTCAGGCACTGATGTCGGAGACGAAGGCCTGGCTCGCAGTCTCCACTCTAATTCATCCCAAAGGTGTCCTATCGGAAATTTCACGGATGGACTTATTGCACAGGTGGCAACCTATCACGGTACCATGCTTGAATTCACTGAGCTCCTGAGAGCAACCCATTATTTCACAAATTTTTTAGAAGCAGTCTTCATGCATGCTAGGTGCTTGATTGTATACACCTGTGTTGCCATGGAGGTGATTGGAACACCTGAATCCAATGATTTGGAGGGGTGTCCCAATACTTTTGGCAATATAGTGTGTCTCTCTATCTATCTATCTATCTATCTATCTATCTATCTATCTATCTATCTATCTATCTAATGCCATTATGGGTAGGGGAGCCTTGTGAGGTAATTGGGCTCTTAGAGACTCTGATTGCCAGA